CACTTTCGTTGCTTCACTAGTTCTGGTTTACAAGTCTCACTCTGGTGAAACCTGTGAACTCTTGTGAAGCTGGAGCAAGCTCGTCAAGCCATCATGGTAAAACCTGTCACTCGAGAAGAGGCTGTCTAGATGGATCGGAACGCTGATGGGAAGAGCGGTTAACGGGTAAAATGCCCCCCCCATCTCCCGTGGGCGAACAGCGCAGGCGACTCTGCTCTAACACAAGTTTTTTCAATGCTATTTCAAAATCAGAGTAATAGTTATAAAAAATCGCGCAAAAATTCTTCTCACCTGGATAGCTGTCGTTTTGTTTGTGATCGTTTTGTGGTAAGCAAGAATCGAATGCTGATCGGAAACATTTGTAGGCAATGAAGACACAACAACAACAGGATAGAAGTACGAGGATCAACACGCTGAAAGGAAACAACAATCACTGACAGGAGAAGAGGTTCATGCATGAACGTGCACATGCTGCTCTCTCACACCTCAACCAACCCTATTAGAATGTGAGCTTTAACATGGGAAATTGATTTTGCGCGTATCTAATCGATAACCAGCAACTAGTTGGTGAGCTGAAGTGAGAGATCAACTCAAAGGCACACTTCGCGATAAGCAGAAGGGCGGAGAAACAGATAACTCATAACCACTAAGCCTTTGTCATTGGAGCGCCCCTATGATACCACTACGGCAAAGAGCGTCAATGAGGAAACCATGATTGTTATGGGTCTCCGCCCACCTGTTATCGTGGAATGTGTGCCCAAACAAAGGAGAAATGAAAATAACATTAGTCTGTACAGTATAGAAAATAGGAAATGATAAATGCAGCACCAAAGGGGAAAGCCTTAGTATCTACTGCTTTTGGGTAAGCTCTGGGTTAACAGAACGGAACAAAGGTAAATGAAGCTGACATTGAGGGTTAGTCGCTTATTTACTCACTTACAGCCGATCACAGCAGTAATAGAAGTGAAGCGAGTCTGAAGTGAAGCGTAATCGATTGGTTAGAAGTGGCACAAATAGGTCGAGGGGACAGAGAGGAGAGTACGGTAGGGAGTCGTGCAGCAGGCAGGTGACCTTCCCAGTAATAACTTCAGAACACTTTATTGACAAGACTTAAAACAATAAACATAGAGTACGCAGGATCATACACGAGAATTCGCCCGTTTATGGAAAATTCCACAGCGGTGGAAATTCCGATAATCCTGACAGAAGCACAAGTCATGACTAGAATCAGAAGCGAGCCATTTAAAAGCAATTCAGAACACATGTCTATGCTGCCACTCCAATGCCGTCTCCAATAGTGCCAGTTGGCTCATCATTGCTACAAATTAAATCACGGTAACTCTCAATTACCCGAAACGGGATGTGTATTAAGTGTATTTGAAGTACAGTCCTCATCACTGGAGTCAGTTCGGGGCGTGTCAGAAGGGCACTTGTTTCGGGGCGGTGCCAAGCTTTTCCATTGATCGCTGCGGATTCGCGCGTTCATGGAGCTCTCCTTAAAAACACAATTTGTAAACCGCTGGCGCTAGTAGCGTCCGTGCGTCGTAGCACTTCACGAATGGGCGATATTTAGGTCGCGGATGAGGATAATAGCATGTACATCCCAAAAAGCAATAAGTGCCCCTGATGTCGTAGTCTCTGCTCCAATTAACAGACCCAGAATCTCAGAGCGCGAAGGAGCGGCAGGTTACGATTGTCTTGACCGCTTGCCTTCAATTAACGGTGATAAAGCTGCCGGCACCTCGCTGGCACGCCCCAACTGCTTTGTATGATAGCGACAGCATTGACCATTCACAGGTCCACAATGAAAGGCCAGACTTCATGAAACTTAATTATTCATGGGTTGACTTGACTTGGTGTGAACTGCCTGGAAACGGAGGAGGGAGGCACTGCAACAACATGTTGCCACGAATTCGGCACGATATCGCCCAGGTAATGCGCACACATGTTCCGGACGCCTTCTTTCGGGGAAATATCAGTCGAAAGGCGGTCAAGACTCCCAAGGGCAAATATAAGGTTTTGACTCAAAGCATCGAAAAATTGGGGCGCGAAGCAAAAGAGTAGTTCTAGCTGGCATCGACGGTGGGGGCTCTCAGAATGGAAACAAGTCTTCGCACTGCGTACTGAAGTTTCAGTTATGATCCAAAGGCGCTCTACACCTTCATAACATGGAATTATTTTCTCCCTTCAATAGCCTATGTGAAACACTTCGAGGCACGGTCCACGATGATTGTATGGGCGGAGACGGCCAATAGTCGCACTTCCATCAATGGCGCACCCCTTCTCCTGATCATCTTACAATCGGCAGAAGATATGCGCTGATGAGGAAGGCACAATGGTTATCCGTCTCTCTCCCAAAGACTAGCGTGGACTGTGACTTCAAACAAACAACTCACTCCCACCCTATCCTATTCCCATCTCTTTTCTCCCTAATCCTACACTTTTCCCCAAAGGACATGAAGGACTTCCCAAATGTTTACGGCACCAAGAAGCCAGAAAGCAGTACCACATAAAATTCGGTGTCCCACTCACCCTTAGCTGCACGACCTCAACGAAACACAAAACAAAGGTGAGATAACTGATTTCAATGAAGAACACAAGGGTTTTGGGCTTGTGACTTACCCTAGAGCAACACCCGCAGCTCCGCTGCCACCAACGCCTCCACCACCAGCTGCGTTGTTGTTGTTGTTGTTGCTGACTGGGGCAGGACAGCAATACCGAACACATTCGACACCTTTCTTGCAGCCCCAGCTGATCGTTTTCGGACGAGTTCCGTCCGCAAATTGTAGCTGAAATCGTACGCAATGGTGCAGAAGGCTACACATGTTGAACAAATGAAAAAAGCAGCTTTTTGCCACACAGTAAGCCGAGTTACGTAAGCGTCTTTTCATATCAATTAAAAAAGTCCTTTAATTAGAATGGTGATGAAAGACTCACGTTATTAGACCTGATCGGCGATCATTGGGGTGGCGACGGGTGGTGGTAGTGCTGCTCAAGCGTTTCGTTACGGGGCACAGCTGTCGCTTGTCGTTGTAGTGGATGGGACAACCTGTATAGCAGTGAAAATATCATTCAAAAAAAGGGAAAGTAAAAATATATGAAGAAACTTAATGGTTGATAAGCTTCACAAAATCTGAAGGGAATCCCTAAAAATATCAGTTAGTGAGCAGAACGATCACCGAAACGGCTTTAGGGTTTTCGAAATTCGCTTTACTTTCCTCGAGAGACACGATTTCTGCAATGGCTGAATGAAGTGCAAGACCTTGTAAGACGGGTGGAGAGCGGGCGTCGTCAGTGAGGAGGCGCCTACCTTTGGTCAGTTTCAGCCACCTGATTACATGGAGTTGTGTCCTTCACTTCAAATATAGCCGCTGGTAGATCTCACTGAAGGGTATCAGATGGAATTTTCTTAGCCAAAGGCAGAAATTATACTTCGTCAAAAGCAGCCGAACCTTCCATCCAAAATCGGTCTTATGTAGGGAGGCACACTACATACATACATGATACCTACGAGATTCCGAGGGCGTGACTGTGCACTTCATTTAAGGTGGCGTCGACGAGGCTGTCGGCCGGATTATTTCGAACAGTTGTGTTCATGTCTTTGTTCAAGGGAAACTGGATGACAGTTGTCCCAAATGGAATTATCCTACGGAAAAGGGATCCCAAGCCGTGCTCATATGAAACAGTTAGCCACGTCATCTCCCTCTCCGAGATATGGGGAGTGTAGCTCGACGCGCGCAATGTTTCCTAGCTAGCTGACTCGGTCTGCAGCCGTTGCCGTCAGTGCAACTGCCCCGCATCTGACGCTATTCAGAACGCCGCGTCGCCGTCGCAACCTGAACCTACTGACCCACACCCCTCAGAGTAGCACATGTGAAGTCTGGAGGAATCACCTGTTGCAGTTGGCTGAGAGGCATTGAGCACATTATCTCATTGGGTTTTTGTTGGTAGTGATTGTCCCAATAGTAGTTGTGCCCATCGTGTGAACGGTGCCGTAGCCGATTTGATTATAGCCTTGCCAGCTTCGTAAGCTACCAAACCTGAAAAACCTCCCCATGTGAAAAGGTTCATTATAGTAGCACTCAATGAGGCGGAAAAACCCTTGACTCACCTCCAACCGCTCCGATGGCTCCACCAATGAGAGCCTTTTTGAACATTCCACTGCTAGCCGATGAACCGACACCACTGCCAGGGCGGAAACTGAAAACTTTTTCTAGTTAGTAAACACTGAAAAACAGTACTTTTAAGAACTCACCCTCCAGCATTAGGATCGGAATCCACTTGGCGGATGGAAACGCCCTGGTCGGTCTTGCGGTGGAAATCCACCTTGATTCGGGTGCGAATCGCCTTTGAATTGAGCTAGTTGGATGGAAACGCACGCCGCCCTGTTGAGGGAATCCGCCTCCAGGTTGTCCAGGTTGTCCTAAATGAGTTACATAGAAAAAATTATGAAAAGAAATGATAAGGCACCAAAAATGCACAATGACCTTATTACGACTAAAGACTTTCACCTATTCCCTCTAATAAATACAGTTTCTGGGCAGTGCGGGCTGAGGGAGGGGGGAGGGAGGGGGGACTGATACGACAGAATCACTGAATTGCGGGCAAAATTTTTGTTGTATACCGTAGAAAGGAGAAGGCGCTGACGAGCACAAAACGAGTGCTCCAACTTTACATCTGCCGACAGCCAGCCCCTCCCCAATATCATTGCACATCCACCTTACTCACTACTATTCATGAAGGCATGTTTATTCCGTTGTATTAACTCTTACCAAGGCAGAGGTGAGTCTGCAAATGACACGCTTAGCCATGCGACGATCGCAGGCTCAAAATATCTGATCTGTGCTCCCGCCCAGCCTGCCAATCTTCTATCTTCGGGGACGGTAGATTGGTTCAATTCGGCGCAATTCGGTGCTGGGCGGGGAGGAGGCGCATTTAGCTTGCTGCTACTTCACTGATTCCGATTATCGAGTTTCACTCTGGATGAAATCCTTTAGAACACCTCGTGAAGCTGGAGCAAGCTTCCGTCGAAACAAATCGGCAAACTGGTCAAATCCAAGAAGACGACTACTCTTTAGATGGGTCGCACGTCGATGAGAAGTCCCCCCCCCGTCACCGAACTGCCCCCAGATTTGTCTGAAAGGATACGAACACTGACTTCCACATCGGCTGGCCCCCGCAATTCCTTGTATAGCGCACATCACATTCAAAAAGCCACTACGATTCGCATCCCAAAAAGGGATTGATCGACGGCAAAGACTCCACTCTCCTATTTCTTTTACCCTTTGCCCAAGGTACATACAATAATCGACACCTCAGGTGAATATAAAAAATCGTATCATCGCAAAAAAATGCAAAAATAAGGATTGCGCCCGCACCGCTTGGTGCACTAATTCAATGCTTTAGACCCGTCGCGAAAATGGGTGAAGTGCAGAAATAAAAAAAAACTTAACGAAACTAATTTATGGATGTTTTGCTTTCTAAAATCAGTTGAAAATCTCGTGCAAAGGGAGAGCACTGTAGTGTAAGGAACCAAGCAAAAGCGAAAAAAAAAACGAACCGCCACTATTTCTAGAAGTGGAAGCTACTCCACCACCTCGGGCAACACTTCCACTGCTAGCACGTCCTGTGAAAAGCAAGCCGTTGTTAGTAAGCAGAAACATAAAAAGCAATTGTGAAAGCTGAGAAAGCCAAAACCACCAAGCAAACCATTAGGTTACGTGATGAAGCGGAACAAAACAGAGACAAATCTGACGCTCATGTAGTTTGGGCGACCGCCCGGCAGCGCCTCCGTGTCCCTTCCTTTGGCTTAGTCTTAGACTTATGTTAAAGCACAGACGACCAGAGTGATGGTATAGCATAGAAGTGATGATCTCCGCTAATTAAGCCTAAGTTTTGGTTAGGAGAAGGGCACAGAAGCGCTGCCGAGAGCCCTTTCGCTGCTCACCTCAGCGACGCTGCACCCCCAGCTGCGGAAAATAAAAACTCGGAACAAGTCACAAAAGCGCATTCCTAAACAGCTCTGAAGCTCTTATTCAATAGCAATACAGTAGAAAGGCGAGCAGATAGCGGGAATTCAACGACAAAAAACTATTCAGCGCTCTGAATTCGCGTTGCTTACAGCTGGACTTGACTAGAGTCTTCATAATCCTTGGAATCGACTTCATAGGAGCTTCAGGGAGGTATTTGACTCCAAATCAGAGCACATCGTATTGGGAATTCCCAACAGCGGGCTCGTATTTGGCTTCCGGCTCGTGAGAGACGTTATAGTCTTTTCGTGGTTTTTCCTGTTTCATGTGTGCTATTTAAAGACGGACCCCGCGCTCAAGTAGTACATGGTCGTCCTTCCTTGTGCAAGTAGTACAGCCCCCAAGCTAGAGACTGTCCCACTCTCGCAACTCCACAGCGAGCGATTAGCGAGCTACAGCCGCTGAAAGTTCTAGTTCTAACGCCTGCCCAGTTGGACCGCTCACTTGCTTAGATGCCCTTGAGCGGTAGCCGCTCAGTTAGGGGGGCGGGTATTATTGGAATCGCATGCCCTTTTCGCTGACCGCGCTTGTGCCCATGAATGATTCTGCTCTCCTTTATTACATTTTATTCATTAGGGGCACATACAGTCAACTCCAACCCATTTCGCAAGGTAAAACGCGTAAAAATCACGAGCGACCCAATTTTCGTGGTGCAAAAGCTCGACGCACTTCACTACACTAAAATATGCACGCTACCGTAAAAATTCGGACGTCGAGTTTTTGAAAGTTTCTTTTTTTTCAAGAGTTTTTATCCTGTTTTTTTGTATTCTTTTTTGCACTGGATGATATCAACTACTGCGAGATGTGATAGAGAGATTTGTGAGCTAGGGGTTGCACAGAGACCGCAGGGAGGTGTGACTGTCAGGGAGCGATTTTGTTTATGGTGTTCTTGAGGACTCTTCTTGCTTTTTTCTTGGGGATTACTTATCAGCTACTGTTTCATAATTGAAAAGCAACTATCCATGACACTTTTATCGCGGGAGCTGTCTTTAACCCCCTCCCCCAGCTCAACAGCACAATTTTCTGGGAAAAGTGGGAAAATTTTCGGTAATTTCCAGAAAAAGTGGTAGGCAGTTGAGGAAAATCTGAGAGAGTGGTCGGCATTATGGGGAAAGGGGGAGGGGGTAGCTCGTTCAGAAGGAACTAGGGAGGGGGTCGTAGAAACTTCCTAAAAAAGGGCGGGGGTCGCACGGACTCGACCAAAATCCCAACTAATGATGTGCCCTGCTCCAAATTCCTTGAAATGCATGGAACTGCTCACTCACCCGTGTTGGTGGTCTTCTTCCCCTTTGACTCATGCTTCAAGTCATCTCAAAGATGCCTGATGGGGTTGAGGTGAAGGCTTTTACTCAGTCATTTTGTCACCCCGATGCTGACCTTGTGTGTCGGAACTTCTTGTAGATCTCGCTTACTTTTCTCTT